TTTCAGCTTCCAGACAAGAGCCTTTCGCTTTGTGGAAACGACAAGGAGAGAAAAAGCAGAAGCGAAAAAGACGAAGGGGGCGCAGAAACCTGCCATGTCTTTTATCAGACTCGGAGGCTGAGGGAATGCGTTTAAAAGCTTTAGGCCTTAAAAAAAAAAACGTTCAAAAAAAAATAATAATCAAAGGGCTTGCAACAGACGGGGAGACGAGGGGGTTGGGGGCAGAAGTTTCACTGTTGAGTTGAATTCTGTCGTACCTTTTTTGTCTGCGCTTCCATACAAGTTGATGGGAGCTCAGATTGAAAAAATATACACAAGCGTTGGAATTGTAAGAGCAGCAGCTCGGGGTGACTAGAGGTAGCTTTCTTTACAACAAAAAGGGTAGGGCTTGACAGAGGAGGAGCCATCACTGTCACTACAAACACCTCCCAGCGTGGCCCACTTAAAATGCAGTCTCGTTTCATCAGCCGCAACCGACACAAGGCCACAGGGTGAACGCTAGAAACAGATGGAGGGGGGGAGGGGAGTTTTAAGAATAGAAAAGGGGGTAACTGTGTGAGTTTTAACCATTAAAAGACATTATTTAATTACACGTCAGATCATTCATCTGTTGCCAAGAGAAGCATCTAATGACAGAACTCCAAAGTCAGAAGCCTATCGGTGCCCACGTCAGCGACATAATACTTCATAACATATCACATGTATGGGTAGGTGTAGACACGATGCTGCACACAGGGGAGAAAGTGTGCCAAGGCTCACATGACCTGGATCTCATGTGTTGAGAGACCCACCTGCCCACACCACTCAAAACATCTGACTGCATGGAAACATCATCAAAGATCTCCAGTTAGTCTTTACGTCTCCATCTATCTGTGCTACTATTTTAAAACCATTAATGAAGACGAACTGTTAGCAGCCCTTCAAAGTGACTCGTATCAGACTGGGAATATGGTTTGGAAAAGTTCACATCAAAAGAATTCCAAGCGTGGACTCCCCACTGTTGACACCCGACCCACATTCTCCCAGACCCTGGTTCAGCTGGGAGGGGGGGCTCAAAGAACAGCGGCTATAAATAACTATCTCACCAGGTATTCTTTAGAAAAAGGACAGCTTTTAAAGCTCATAGAGTTGACTCACATTCTAGCTTCTGTTTTTATTTGAAAGCACCGTGGGGTCGAGCTTTTAAACTTCTTCTTACAGAGCGTTAAGACTTTTAATACGGCTAACGAATGTGATACGGGGAGTAATTGAGGCTTAAATTCATTAACATCAGGGATAAGTTTGGTTACTTGTAATCCTTTGAGTATATTTTTAAAAATGAAATTGTTTCATCAATACTGTGGAAACTTTGGGAGCTCTTAACATGTGTGTACTTCTTCTTCAAGAACTCTAACTTGAACAAAATGTAAAAATTCAACATCAGGACACGGAGCAATTACTCAACTAATCGATAATTCAATCAATAGAAAAATATTTAGATAATTCATTATTGGTTTGACCTTTTTTGTGCAAAATTGGCATCTTCTGATACATTGAATGCATCCAGTGTTTCCCACAGAATTTGATTCTATGTGTGGGGGCACCGCACCGCACCCCTAACCCCCCAGCAAGAAAAGCCAAAGGCCCCTTAACCTATTCGGGTGGCCCACGCATCCACCCCCCGCCTCAAATAAGAAAATGGCTACTGTAGACAACGTTCTTGCTGCCCTGTGTTGCGTTGTTAATGAGTGAGACACACCGGAGTTGAGGATCTGTGGGGTTTATTCTCCCAAAAATATAATTTACAATTTAGCAGAAGCCTTATTCCAAAGCGAATTACAATGACCGATTACAGGGACATTCTCCCTGGAGTAACTGAGGGCTAAGTGCATTACTCAAGGGCAAACTAGTAGTGGTGTTCAAGGCGGGATTTGAACTCGCAACCTTCCGATCATCAGCCCACCTCACTATCCATTAGACCACCAAAATTAAAATGTGCCATCTAACCACAGAATAAGCAGACTGTGAGATCTGACAGCAACAACACTTTTTGATGTCTTTGTTTAACAACTCAACATGAGCCTGCAGTAATGGTGGCACAGTCGTGAGAGGAAATATCATCTATCACAAATTCTCATGCCATGTGTGTCTACACTGAACATGGAGTTGTCCTTTTCAATTAAAGTCTGAATGCCAAAGTCCTGGATGTTTCAATGTCAAAAGCACCGTATGTAAATGCTTCTGCTACCCTCCTCTCATTACTTATACAAACCACGACTTCATGAATATGTTCTTTAACACAAGAAGTACAGCAAGAAGCAAACACACACGGTTTGAACTAGTAAATTAAATATTAAAAGTTTTTGGATTTAGTTTTAATAAATGCTAAACAACAAAGGAAAAGCAACCAAATACATATTTATGGTGGAAACACCTTTCGTCTTTTATTCATTTTCCCTCTACGCTTCAAAAGCCATTATGCACCAACACTTGAATTATTAATAGAAACTGAGCTCTACTAACTCCACATTTTTACCATTTCAGCAGGGGCTCCTGTTCCATCCTGAGCCAAAACTTTACACACCACTGGAAAAGCAAAACCTTTCCAGGAACAAAGTAATGAATATTAGTTTTTTGGGGTAATAACGTATGCTAATGATGTGGTTTTACATGCTTCTACAGCCGACTCGACATATAAGCAACCAATGGCATGGCTTCTCCGCTGTACAAAGTAAACACAGATTCAGGTGTTTTTCATAAAACCAATCTCCAAAGAATGGCCCGGAGACACAAAGCCTGAAGTCAGTCGGATCCTATTACTACATGGAGACATTTATTGTAGCTTTGGGCACATGTCAGGATTAGTAACTTTGACACCATGTGGGTGCAACATGTAAAGCCAGTTGAAAAGTTCCAACACATGTACCACACTCCATCGCGCGCACGTCATGCACACTTAATTGGCATTCGCAAAAACACCGCAACATCTCTCATTACTAACACACCCTGCAACACCATGGCTGCTATCAAAAGCCCCCTGGCTGAAAAGGACAAAACAATGGAGGACTTTGGAGTCAGGTCCAAAGAATGAGGTTATTTCTGTTGCCTCTAACTTCCTCAAGTTTGATCCATGCAAGGAATTCCCCAAACCAAAAGGCTAATTTCTTTCTTCAACCCAGCATGTGCAGTTGTATCTTACTTTGCACGCATGATAATCACTTTAAATGCATGGTGTAACATGACCTTTCCACAAGAACTGCTGCATGCTGAATGAGCAAAAGTCATAAAAAAGCAAATGAGAGGGAAAGAAAGGGGAAAATAAGAGTATTTCAACAAGCAGCTACATGCAAATTAACAGAATTCTAAAAACTGGTAAGCACCTAAAGGACATTTGGAAAAGACAATCACGCCACAAGATGTCAAATCAAATCAGAGTCACAACATAATGGCTGCTCTGATGTGTCAAAATGCAAGAGATCCTGGATCCTGGATTCTGGGTTGCATTAAATGGATGATTGCATTTCTGCTCAAAGTGTCTGGATCGTGGGTGGAGAAACTGATTTCATTTTTTTTTTCCTTGATGGGCTTCAATTCCTCAAACATGCTGCCTTTGAGGAAGGCCTCGCTAACCAAAGAGGCTTAAGGCTCCTCTGAAGCCATTCCAAAGGATTTCCCCACTTGACAACAACAGCACGGTGTTTACGGCAATGCCAAAATACAAAACAAGCGTGACCTCCAATATTTCTCTCCAGCATAATTTGCAATCCACACTTGTCACCAGACTGTCACACTGCAATGCTTTCAACTCAGTCTTGATCTATTGTTCCCTAAAATAAGAAACCTCAGATCAGTGCATAGGATGGTACCGACATTTGTTCCTTACATGAGTGCCCGAGAGAGAGGTAACGTCCATTTGGACAAGAATAAACACAAAAACAACAGATATGGGACCAGCTGTTTTGTTCTAATATAACATGTGCACTTCTACTTTCACCAATGTGTCATTTGCACATATTTCTTGCATTTAATGTCTTTGTTTGTTGAATATCTTAATGCTGCACTGTTGTTAGATCCTGGCACTACAGCTGCTCAATGCAAACAACTACGCTTTAAATATTGTGCATATGACAAAAAAGCTTTTGAGTCCTTTGGATAATCAAATAAGAGTTACAAGCTGGTGGTTTTTGCAGCTATGTGTGAACTGTCAACTTAAAGTGTGTCACTGACTTGCAGAATGTCAACTAATTCAATGTCTAAAATCAGCAACATAAATATATATCCACCCTCATCTCCATTGCTAAAAGTGTGTCCAACAAGAAGAACGTTTTCAAGACTTTTAGTGAAGTAAGTAACACATTAGTTTGAGACTAACTGTAGCCGCATGCAGTGGTGTAAAGTAACTAAGTACATTTACTCAAGTACTTCAGTAGACTTTTAAGATGCTTGTTTTGCTGCTTTGTACTTCTACCCCACTATAAATTAGAGGTTCATAGAGTACTTCTACTTTTGCAAAACTTGCTTCCCCTTTGCAAGATTTGATAAACACATTAATGCATCAATAACTCAAATCAGAGCATACTTATAAGCCAATCGGCAAAATGTGTACTTTTACTTTTGGTACTTTAAGTATGTTGATGCTCATACACTTGTACTTTTACTTGAGTAACATTTTGAATGCAGGATTTTTACTTGTAATAGTCTTCCGACGCTATGGTACAATATCTGAGTACTTCTTCCACCTGAAAACATGAACATATATCCACCCTCTTCAACATTGCTTAAAGTTTGTCCAACAAACAGAAAGTGTTAAGACTTTTAGTGAAGTAACAGACACATTAATTCAAGACTAAGTGTAGCCTCCCCATGCAAAACTGCAGATAAAGTGAGAAGCATTCAAACGCACATTTTGGTGCGCAAAATAAATCCAGTCCTAATGATAAATGTCACAAACATGCACAATTTCACACGTTTCTGTTATGCTACTTCACTATAAATCCGTGAACCTCGTGGACTCACCCGTGCAGTCAGACCGCAGTTATTCTTGTGGTGACAGTCCCGCGGCTCGAGGCGAGAGCTCGTGCAGTAGTATTTCTGCTTCACGAGCCAGTCGTCGATTCCCTTTCTTGCCAAACAGGCATTGACTACAAAACTGTCGCCTGAAAACAAAGAAGCGTATTATTTAGCAGCTATAAAGTATGTTTTTTGTTCGCGCTACACTCATGTTTTCCACAAGCGGTATCTGCAGAGAGTCTTCGCTGTAATGCTTCTCTAATGAGCTGACACTTTTTTTTAAATGTCACAAAACTGACCGAAATGTGAGACTTTATGATAATAAAAGGGAAATATAAGAGCGCTTACCTTCTGGGCTCTCCCTCGGTTTACAAATAGCGGCTTTAGAGAGAAAGAAAGTCAGACAATGAATACTGGAAAGTATCGCAGCAGCACAAGAACTGTGACTTGTTTCAGGAATAAGAAACCTTACCATGTTTCGAGTGCAGTTTACCCATTTCTATGCATCGAGTTGGAGTTGAAAACCATCAGAAGAATATAATCCAGAGGAGAAAAATGGAAAACCTGCTACAAATATCCAGACAGAGGAGCGTCAGAAGACTGCGCTCAGAGGAGCTTGAGGAGCTTCAGGACCGCAAGACTGAGAGCCAAACGAGCCTTTGATCCGGAGAGAAGACACACACACACAGGACTATATAGGACTTCCGGTCCACGCTTTCACAATAAAACACTTAATTGATTAAGACACTGGCTTCACAAAGCAATGATTAGCATAACTGAAATACACATGTGGCCAAATACTCACACATTTTTATGAAAATAATCCAATATTTAATTAGTTTTAGCCATATAGTATACATCTTTAATACCTGCACAGCTCTGCCACTTACAAAGTTCTGATATACTGCATGTATTATATTATCATATTCTTGATGTTTAAGTATATTCCTTGTGGGCTTTACGTGTCTTTATTATTTCTTAATCGTTTTTTAAAGCTGCCTTTAAAATAGTTTCATATGTGTTCCTTTATTACAGCATGATTCCTCTTATTGTGGTGATATCATTATACACAAAAGCCAATTTCTTATATATGTAATACCGGCTACTTTTCAATGAACATGAATTTGATGTATAGCTTAGTTAGCCTACTTATTCCTGCATTTTATTGCAACTTTCTTTCACTTGCACTGTGTTATTTCATTATCTGTTTATAAGTCTTAAGTATAGTGTGTGTGGCATTGTTGGAGACTAAATATTTGTATTGCCAACCACTAAGCTGTGACAATACACCTTCAAATCTGTTTAATGAATGTAAGGAGGCGTGTGGCGCAGTGGGTTGAGCGTTGATGTTGGTATCAGGTTCAAACCCCACTGCAGTCAGCATGTCGTTGTGTCCCTGAGACACTTCACCCCAAATTGCTCCTGTGGGGATTGTCCACAGTGTAAGTCGCTTTGGGTAAAGGCGTCTAACAAGTCACATGTAATACAAAACTAGAAAATGCTAGTCCACAAAGCCTATATTTAAACTCCTACTATTTAATCATTGCACATTTTAATTAACTCAGGAAACCCAAGTCCTAGTAAGCTAAACTAATCTTCTAGAAATAGCTCCACATTGGCCCATTTGTTGTGAATTCTTTTAATTTCTTGATTTTGTTTTGAAAATTGGTGTAGAGACTTCCGGTACGCCGCGTCTTTTTCTGGTTGACTTGACGATGGTCCCTCTCTGTTCAAAGCGCAGATGAAGCATCAATAAAACCTTAATTCCACTCCACAGAAGATCAGGATTTACACCTCAGCCCACACTGCAAGCTAATGCATGTAAACTCACTCAGTGTTTCCCAAAACTGAGGTTCCTGAAGGGGTCCCAAGACTTAAAGGGGACCTATCATGCAAAATGCACCTCTTCATGTCTTGTCCCCTCTGTGTAAAGAGATTCTGAAAGTTTCAGGAAAAAAGATTCTCTCTCTTTTTGTCCTGATCCATTTNCCCTGCGCGTACAGTAACTACATCTTCGTCTGTCTTCTCTCCCCTGTGTACAACACATCTCTCTGTCTTCTTCTCCCCTGTTACAACTAGCATCTTCCCTCATCTGCTCGTACTTCTTCTCGCCTTGTACAAACTACATCTTCTCTGTACTCTTCACCTAACGACTTATCCCTCGGAAAATTCCAACTTTTGTCTCTTCCCACCAAACATTTTCAATCAATAAATAGACTGTACAAACCAACCCTGATTTACGACCAAGGAAGAACGGTCCGAGACCTCCCTCCTGACGCCGATTTCGTCGACTTCTCTTGCTTTCGCAGAAGTCTGAGTCTGACTTGAGGTCCTCTGCGATGTAGCACCTGTATACTCTCTCCTCTTTTATCATGCCACTGGTACACGTAGAAAGTGTCTGATTCAATGCAGTCTCGTTCTCGCTTGAAATTTATCGTTGCATGCGAAATCTGACGTCTCCACGAGAGTAACTCATTGGTAATGTCTACAAACATTAACATTTTTCTATGAGTCCTCTCTTTCACCGTCAATAAGAGATTCTGAAAGTTTCAGGAACAAAGATTCTCTCTCTTTTTGTCCTGATCCATTTATATAAAAACCTGTCTGAAAATGAGCTGATCAGATTGTGGCCACTTTATGATGTCATAACGATTTTTTGGCTTGTGTAACCATTAGCCAATCACCAACCAAGGTAACACCCCACACCTTATCACCTGAATCTCCTCCTAGAGCACCACTGGGTTCTTTTTAACCAAATATCTCTCAGAGGGGCGTGGGGAGGGGCTCCTTATTTTCATCTAAAGTAACAGACAGAGAATCAGCACTTTTGAAACAGGGCTGAAACAGAGGGGATTATGGGATGCTGATCTGTTTGGTATTTGGAGCCAAACACTTCAGAGACATGTTTTATATATATCTGACACCTATAATATATTGATGAAAAACAGTATGATAGGGGACCTACCACAAAAACGTAAAAATAAGATGTAAAAAGTTTGCTTCAATGGAGCATGGCTCTTCTGTGATTGATTAAATTACACATCCAACATCACTAATTATTAGCTTCAAGGGCTTTTCTATAATTTAAAATGAATAAACCTGATCGAGCCAACCATGGTGTATGTAAATCACTTTTTGGGCGATATCTATTTCTTTGTAATAAACTGCAGCAATAATCCTCTCAGACAGGTTTCCTGGGGACAGAATAATCGAACATGTTTGCGGTCAGCGTGAGTCCGTCTGTTTGAGGTCTTTGGCATGAGAATAAGGTTTAGACATCACAGTCTTATTGGACTGAGGCAGGAGATCAAAACAGGCTGATATTCTTTTGAAGTATTTGATTATATAATAAAAGACAGAGAAGCAACTGTGCCATGTCATGCTGTCATTGGCTCAATGTGACGGTAATACATTCGCACAGTGGGCATCTATCAATCCATGGACCCAACATTAATTAAGTTTAACACTTTTCCATGCACATTTTGTTTTGGTTATTATCTTCAAACTGTGACTGTTGAATGATCCAGATAAGAAACCCTAAATGCAATGAAAACCAACCCTGAAGAAACACAACAAAGGAAAATAATAATCATGTCTTTCCTTAATGATTTGCACACATTGAATCCTAATTTCACAGTGTATTAAAATGTGAAAATATAAAAGCTTTTTACCTCTGCTCAGCATTTCCTAAAGTTCTTTTGGTTTGTACTTTCGAATTATCTCCAATAATCCAATAAATTACACAAAACAAAAAGTGTGTGTCGTTGATGTACTGTAATTAGGTTTTTATAATATAACTGTTTGAAATTAGTTGATATATCGCTAAGAAGGAAGTGCTTTCTGTGATAGCAATCAAGTTGCAAAAAAACATGTTTTTCAAATGCTGGCTTTTCTAATTTTAGATCAAAACCCTCTTCTTGTCATTTCTGTGTCATGGTGTATCTTTTCCTTTTATGTCTAAAAGCAGCAGATTAAATCTTAGGGGAGGATTTGTTTGATTATACAGTAGGACATAATCTCAAAACCCAACATCTGTAAAAGCAAGTGGATTAGTTTAAGAACTGCTTAAATAGCAACATATATCACATTGGTAGAGGGCTATCTGTTAATCTGTCCATCTGTCTGTAGAAGGGAAGCTGATTATATTGTGTGTGTGACATATCATTTACCTTTTCTTCAATGCATTTTACGACAAGCATCTTAAGCAATTATCCATTTTGGTATCACATGCAAACGGTGAAATGAGTCACAGCAGCACTTTGCCTGCGTAGAACCTAATACGATATCTTTAAAGCTTCTTCAGTAGTAGAAAGAAAACAACCAACCCCCAAAAACCCTAAAAGTGTCCCTGTCTTAGGCACGGACACTGGGGGAAATTCTGTAATTCGATGAATGCAAAGCAGTGTAAGATTCCCCTGCTGGTAAACCTCAGCCATTTGTGGTTCCTTCACAAAAGACTAAAAGCAGAATCTGTCAGTGTGTTGCGGTACCTCAGCAACCTCTACATGCATCAGAGACTTGTAGGACAACAAACAAGCAGCCCATGCTGACCAATCACAGTTCCTGTAGTTCCCACACTGTTCCACCATTGTTCAGGAGGCACACGTCAGACAGTGACAGCGTCAATAAGAAAGCCTTTGACATACAGGACACCATAGGCTTGGGGATGGCCAAATCATTTAAAAAATAATGTACAATATGACAAGTGAAATTCTCTCCAACATCCTAGCAAAAATACATCTTGATATTAGAGTTACAAAATCAAAATGACTCATAATATTGTAACCCTTAAGCAGGAACAGAAAGTAATATTCATCTATGTTTGCCTATTTGAATACTTTACAAATAAAACCCTCATATTTTAAGTGAAATAAGGCCATGAACTTTATTACATTACATTACATGTTACTTATTAGTAACATACTCAATACTGTGGGCAATCCCCACAGGAGCAATTTGGGGTGAAGTGTCTCAGGGATACAACGACATGCTGACTGCAGTGGGGTTTGAACCTGTGCTCCCCTGATCCGAACACCAACGCTCTAGTCCACTGCGTCCACCCTGTATTTAAGTCTTATGTATTGAATTCTTAAAAATGTAATTTAATAGGTACAGATACAGCCTTTTGATGTATTTTGCCACACTTATTAACTACTGTAATGTCAAACGTTAAACTATTTCAGTAGTGTTGCTTAGAAATAATGATGTTCTGGTAGAAAAACGGACTTTCTAACTTCAAAACTATGCATTATCGTTTATCAAGAGACTTCCTCCACCAACTACCTACAGAGGAAGGCCTCTAAATTCCTGCACATGGTTGGCAGCTAATAGCCGAAGGTGGGATATGCAAATATTTCTGAGTTGGGATGATTTCCGGGGAAGTCAAGATCAAAAACGTAACCTGGCCCCAATTTTCAGTGAAGGATTTTCTCATCTTCAGGGACGTGACTATTCACTGGACACACGTCTTTAATGCAGCCCTCCAGATGCGTTTCCACTAAACAGAGGTTTCCGCATCCTGACTCTATCATCACAAGTATTACCAAGAGGAATCAGACTCCTCTTTGAACTAGTTTGCCACAGACACACAGATGAGCTTGTTATTATAGCAACTCGCCCGAATTTGCTGGGAAAGAAGGCCTGTC